CGATGAGGCAAGTGATATCGTCTCTACGAGAAACGGATCGTTTGTCGATGGTTTCGTTCTCGTCGAGCTCGAAGCGATTGTCGCCGTTACGGAGAATGTCGGCGAACGGAAGGAGATTAGCTAGAAGAATTGTCGACGAAATTTCCGGTGACGGCGACGGAATGAGTGTTAACGATGCGGTTAAAAAAGCGGCTAAAGTGATCGAAGATCGACGGCAGAAAAATCTCTTCACCACTATCTTCGTCTTAACGGACCGTAACAAGAACTCGGCCCACGAAGCCCAATTGGCCCAAGCTGATTTTGTGTCGTCCACGCGCTTCTCTCACTTGGAAATCCCAACGCACACCATTTGGCTCGGCGCGTGTAATCACGCTCTCTCCGAGGATGTGTTTGCTAAACGTATCAAGAGTTTGTTGAGTTTATCGGTTCAGGATCTTACTCTAAATCTCGGATTGGTTTCCGGGTCGGGTCAAGGAGAGGTGACGTCAGTTTACTCACTCTCGGGTCGACCCGTTTGGCTCGGATCCGGGTTGATTCGGTTGGGTGACATGTACGGCGATGAAGAAAGGGAAGTGTTGGTGGAACTCAGATCATCTGCATCTTCTTCGTCTAATAGATGCCAGAGAATCATGACCGTCCAATCTCGCCACGTGGATCCTACGACACAGGAAATAAAAAATTCTGAAGATGGCGCGCTAATGATACCACGTCCCACGGCCGTTAGATCATCTAACCCGAACATCGCAAGGCTCAGAAACCTCCACCTCAGCACACGTGCCGTTGCCGAGTCTCGACGGTTAATCGAAGCAAATGATTACTCGGGGGCTGAGCGAATGCTGACGTCAGCTAGAGCCTTGTTGGTGCAGTACGGTTTGAGCTCCGGTGACTCGTGCTTACGTGGTTTGGAAGCTGAGCTGGCAGATTTGAACCGTTTGAGGGGTAGACACGTGGTGGTGAAGAGTCCAGAGCCGGTGGTTCAGAAGAGTGAGCCGCTAACACCGACTTCAGCGTGGAGAGCGGCTGAGAGATTGGCTAAAGTGGCGATCATGAGGAAGCATATGAATAGAGTCAGTGACCTCCATGGATTCGAAAATGCTAGATTTTAGTTTCTTTTTGTTATGGTTTTTGCTGTTTTTTTATTACGATTTGTAATGGTGTGATACAAAGGAAATACAATGGTATATGAGAAAATTTATGGATATTGTTTTTTCATTAAACATTCATTCATATTGAACTTATGATATTTTGCAACGTGTGATACAAATAAATGCAAAAGTATATAAAAAAAACTTATAGAAATTAGTATTGTATGTAGGTCAATTTTTAAAAAGTGGGTGGGTGTAGGGCCGGCGCAGAGGGCAAGCCACCGAAGCTACCGATTAGGGCCTCAAAATTTGAGGGCCTTTTTACCTAAAAATTTGTTAAGTTTCTTATATACAATAATTTTTGTAGGGTCTTTTAAAAATATTGTAGATTTTTTGAGACAACTACAACATTCTTTTTAATGGTAAAAATCTGATTTAAAAGAATTTTTTTTTATGAGCTTTAATTTTGCTTAGGGCACCTAAATTTACCGGACCGGCACTGGGTGGGTGTTAGCTCCATTATAGTTTCCAAAAAATAAAATAATAACTTGTTTACATAATAATGCTATTTGTTTGCTACGGCGGAATTGGCTTTGCTTTTGTCTCATGTACTTTTGTACATTGTACATTGAATAAATCTTATGATGATTGTTCATTTTATCTTTTATCGGCACAAAAAGTTTTTCTGCCTCTATTGTGTTCCCCATTAATAATTTCACAATTATGTTCCCCATTAACTACCAATAAACTCTAGTCAATCGGTCAGAGTGAAGTGGAAAATTTTGATACGTGCTCTATTGTTTTTGGTACACTTAATTTGGATAGATAGTTGTGTTTTATTTGAGAAAAAGGTGTGCTCTTTTGAGAAGAATAGGTTTGTTTCGTCATTCGTGGATTCAAAAACCAAGCTGACTCGCTCGAACGAGACACATTTATAAAGTTTGTTTTTGCAAGTATATTTAAGTGTTTATATATTACATCATGGCAAATTTAGTTTGATATTGGTAAATTGAACCTCATGTCTCAAGTTCAAGCACCTCTTTGACCCCTTCTTATATTTTTTACAAATTAGTTTTTGTTCTTTTCTTGATTTCTACTTGAAAAATATTTTTTATATAATATATTATAATATTTATATAAACATTTTGTAAAATAAAAAAAAAATTTCTTACAACTTTATTTTTGAAAAACCTTTAAAACTTAACCAATTGTTAAATAAAATATACGTGCAAACATGTTGAACTTTTTTTTCTTTTTGTCAACAGCTTTTAAATAAAATTCAAAAGAGTCATTCCTGAGAAATGTTGTTTACATATGTGATATGATGCGATTCGGTACGAACTTTTCGTGCCAAATTATCCACTTTACATTCGCACTTCGAGAAATCAAAGATAAGGAGAAACTTGAAAATTCCTCCTTGTCGCTTTTGAAATCTTCCAAATACACTGAGAAGGCCGACCAATCGTTTGGGGAAGACACCATTTGCACCAGGTCTGAACAGTCTGTAAAAAAAGCTACATCTTGGTTGTCGGCTCCAATCATACACTTCATCGCCCAGAGAAGAGCTTCTACTTCGGTATGTAGAGGTGAGAGACTTCTTCGGATATTGGCAGCTCCCATGGTTGGAGTCTCTCCATTTGATGATGTGCAGAACCACCATGTCCCTGAAAATTTATCAGTCCCTTTCCAGGATCTATCCACGAAACAACGATATCCTGAGTAGATATTATCATGTGAGATATCTCTCTCTCGAGCTCGATTTTCGCAGCGTGTAGCACGATGATTTTCATTAATTAACTCCACTTGCGCCTCTTTTTCCGCTAAACGTAAAACCTCTAATGGGTATTTAACCACATTTTCAAAGAACTTTTCATTTCTAGCTTTCTAAATATACCAAATTATCCATGAATATGAAGATGAATCAACTTCCGAAGGAGTTCTCCAAAAAAGATGATCCAAATTCGCATAAATTGAAGCTGTTGGTAAAATTTCCGGGGCCGTAGGAATTTGAGATAGTGCCTAAATTTGTCTCGCTGGATGGCATTCAAAGAGTGTATGATTAATTGATTCCTCTATCGCACCACATCTGCCACATCTTGTATCACAATTTATACCTCTTTTTTCGCAGATTCTCTGTAACCGGTACACAACCTGATAAAATTTGCCACAGAAAATGACGTAACTTTGGTGGACACTGTACCTTCCAAGTATATGCTTTAAGAGATTTAAAATCTGGGCCAATAAATTTGGGCCACATTTGAACTTATGACACCACAAGATTTACAGACCAAATGACGGAATGCTAAGTCCGTTTTTTTTTTTTGTCAACTGCTAAGTCCGGTTAGTTTTCACGTATATTAAATTTGTTTTTAAAACAAAAACATTTTGTAAAATCAAAAACTTTTAGTTAAAAACAAAACAATTTACTTCAAAATTTATTTTTGAAAAACCTTTAAAATTTGACCAAGTGTTAAATAAAAGATACGTGAAAACATTTTGAACTTATGACACCACAAAACTTACAGACCAAAGGACGGGATGCTAAGCCCGGTTAGTTTTCACGTATATTAAATTTTAATACTTAGTTTTGTTTTCAAAACAAATACATTTTGTAAAATAAAAAAAAATAATTTAAAAAGTTTCAATGAAATTTCTAGTTTTTTTAATTTTAGCGGAAATCATTATTATTTTAAAAAATGAGTTTAAGTGTTAAGTCTATAATACGTGAAAACATTGCCGAACTTCGAAAACCAAAGCTTACAGACCAACTAAGGACATGATGTCTAGGCGCGGTTAGTTTTCGACGTGTTTGAAATTTAACAATTAAATTAATTTTTTTAAAAATTGAATAAAATTTCATGGTTTTATTCTTAAAGTTTAAGTGTTAAATTTGTTTTAACTTTGAGCGAAAATCATTAGTATTTTTTAAAAATGAGTTTAAGTGTTAAATCTTATATTACGTGAAAACATTACCGAAGTTCGAACACCAAAGCTTACAGACCAACTAAGGAGATGATGCCTATGCGCGGTTAATTTTCGACGTATTTAAAATTTAACACTTAAACTAATTTTTAATGAAATTTCATGGTTTTATTCTTAAAGTTTAGGTGTTAAATTTGTTTTAAATTTAAGTGAAAATCATTATTATTTTTTTAAAAATGATTTTAAGTGTTAAATCTATATTACGTGAAAATATTGCCGAACTTCGAACACCAAAGCTTACGGACCAACTAAGGACATGATGCCTAGGCGCGGTTAGTTTTCGACGTTTTTAAAATTTAACACCTAAACTAGTTCTTAAAAAGTTTTAATGAAATTTCATGGTTTTATTCTTAAATTTTAAGTGTTAAATTTGTTTAAAATTTTAGTGAAAATCATTTTATTTTTTAAAAATAAGTTTAAGTGTTAAATCTATATTACGTGAAAACATAGCCGAACTTCGAACACCAAAGCTTACGGACCAACTAAGGACAGGATGCCTAGGCGCGGTTAGTTTTCGACGTGTTTAAAATTTAACACTTTAAATAGTTTTTAAAAAAAAATTAATGAACTTTCATGGTTTTATTCTTAATGTTTAAGTGTTAAATTTGTTTTAAATTTTAGTGAAAATCATTATTATTTTTTAAAAATTAGTTTAAGTGTTAAATTTATATTACGTGAAAACATTACCGAACTTCGAACACCAAAGCTTACGGACCAACTAAGGACAGGATGCCTAGGCGCGGTTAGTTTTCGACGTGTTTAAAATTTAACACTTAAACTAATTTTAAAAAAAATTAATGAAATTTCATGGTTTTTTTTTAAATTTTAGTGAAAATCATTATTAGTTTTTTAAAAGTAATTTACTAAAAAATATTATTTGTAAAAAAAAAACCTTTAAAAGCAAAAGAGAAAAGAAAGTGTTATTACCTGGTTTGGATTTGGGTAGTGAGGAGTAGGAAAAGCCCAATAGCCAAGGCCCATTAGTTAGCCTTCACTGCACCGTCTCCTTGTCACGAAAGTCACGACGAAACTCAGTTTTTGATCTTCTTCTTCATTCATCCTCAGGCGACTCCATCGAAATTCGAATCTGCTACGTCGCCCTCTTTCTCAGTCGCCACCGTCGCCAAAATCCGCCGGTGAGAATCGCGTAAGAAGCATCCATGGTAACGGATCAACATTCAACATCACGAGATAAGAAGAGATGCTTTCCTCCAATCAAATCTTACGGATAAGTTTTGAGATGAAGAATGAACTTTTTTTGAAGAGAGAATGTTGGAATGGATCATCATCGGCGATCTTCTCGGTAAGAAATTCACAGAGAATTTAAAAAGGAAAAAGATGAAAGATGGATTTTTTATTGTAGTATCGAAGAAGAAGAAGAATAGAGAGTTTTGATTTCTCAAGGAAGATGATACGAGTGAGAGTTTTTATAAGCAAAGTTTGTTTGAAGAAAAAGGAAATTTTCGGTTGTTTCCTTTTTATTTCCCGACGAGATTAAGAAAAAGGAAATTTCAATTATAATTATCTCTTAGTGCGTGAGATTTATTATTTGTTGAAACAGAGATTTGCTCACAACGGTCATATTTGTCTCTTCATGCGTAACAATTTATCAAAAGGTAAATTATTTGAAGTTTCTTATTTGTTGAAACAGAGAAACAGAGGCCAGAGGCTGCAAAGTCACGTGAACCAAAGTAACCTCTGTGATGAAAAAGATCCAAGACTACCATAACCTGGATTATTCATTGGCTGACAAGAAGATGATGTACGAGATCCAGACCAAGAAACTTCAACACTTTGATCAGATCCAATCACAATGGTGTACTAATAAGGCTTGCGTGAGGTTCACAACAAGGCTTATGTTATGCTGAATGCTGCAAACGAGAGATTGGAATCATCCAAAAAAAGTTCATGTTTCTTTCTTTGTCATATACACTCTCTAGCAAGACACAGCCTTTATGGTTTCACACACCCTAACTTGTTACAACATTCTTCTTCAGCTTCTCTAACTAGTAACATGTTGTAGATTATCGATACGAATCTTTTGTTAAATAAAGGAAATTATCAAACATTTGATTACACATAAGACTTTACATAATCCAATTTTTATATGAAGCTACAAAACAAGAGCACAACATCTTCTCTACCTTCAAAAACATCAGTTGCAAGGACAAGGAAGAGGTGATGAACATAGGCTCTCTGTGCCACAAATGACTTCTAAAAGGCAGTGATATTCGATGGGGTTGCTCAAAACCAAACTTGATCTCTTCAGTTTTGTTTCTTTTGTATCCTCTTAATCTGTTTACAAAGATCATGTTCTGACACCTCCATGAGCTCTACATGAGTCCCCATCTCACAAGCTACCAATGGGAGACTCATATAGAGCTTAAAGCCTGAAGAAAAATAGAACACCACAAGCAAGAGAAAAATCATTTAACAATCTTGGGGAGATGTAGAATTGCATATCATTTGACTGGTCGAACGGGAAACAACAAAACTCAAACCACTTAATAGATGATATAAAAACAAGATTTTGGGTAGCTTTAAACAAAGAATTGCCTTAGTTCAAAGAGTGACAGAAGCAGAATACAAAACCTTAGAGCGATCTAAGAAAGGATCAACGGTCATGACAGCATTGGACCACTCAATGTTACCCCAAATCTCACCTCCTTGGCGTCTCTCCAAGGAGATCTCTGCACACCAAATCTCAAGATGATCCCCTTCAATGACGTCCCAAAAGAGCACAATGTTCCCACCAGAGTTGCTCAGTCTAGCCCCAGGAAGTAACTAGTGACTTGTGACTACTGACTAGAGCCTAAACCATCAATGATACTAGAACAGAGCATTCTTTAACGATCCATGTTGCTGTTGTCTTCTAAGTTCTAACAATCAAAAGCATCAAGGAGTACCAATTCAACTTTTAATATTTGCTTTAATGAGGTTTAGAAAGTTACAACTTAAATAGTTAAAACTAGGAAACAGTGTGATACATTGGATTTCTATCCAGAAAGTTGATCAAACGAACTGCAACACACATAGAGACACATTCTTTTGTACACAAAACCCCATTTTTAAAACTTATGAATATTGAACACAAGATTACATTGATACAGATTAACGGGTCAGAACTTTTTTCCCAAGCTTCGTTCCAAAAGTGCAACTACACCATGTCTACATTGTCCTGTAGTAAGAACACTATAAAGACGACTTAAAGCCATTCTTTGACATTCTGGTTACAAAGCACATGCCCCACATGACATCATCATAGGCAGATTATCATGACTAGATTGTTCCTTAGAGACTGGACAGACAAACACTGAATGGAACTAGTTCTACAGCTACAAGAAGTTGTTACATAATTTGCCAATCCAGCTACAACTATCTCATAGGAAGGGTCAAGGGAGTATCAGAGGAACCTGATACGATGAACAGGAATATGATCAGAACTGAATTATTGGAGTTCAGAGGAATCCTCTGCCGCAAGTGATGAGTCAAATTCTCAGAACACTATACACACCTCGCTTTTTCTAATAGAAGCAGTTTGTATATATCCGACGCTCGGGATCTTTTCACATCCAGAAAACTGTAGGTTGTGTCTCTCCACAAGCTCTTCTTCTTTAGTTGACTGTCGTTTGTTTTGTTGGAAGGATTTTCATTACCTTGTCCCCATCCTCTGTAAGGCACAAAACACATTCTATAAGCAAGCCCATATCTTGTGAATTTGTATTTGATCCTACTAAGGAGGAGAAATGAAAGTAAATCCAAAACTGGTATTAGAGTCATAAGTTATAGCATCGTTAATGCCTTCAAAGGAACTATCATCAACGCTGTAATGCAGAGCATCGCATACATTCGCCAAAGCCCAAGATGTTATTATACGCATTTGACTTGACAACCATTGAAGCACACTGGAGTAAGAAAAGTAAATCGAAATTGCATGGCTCATGAGAACAAACGAATGAAAGCAAGCAATATAATACCAAGATCAAACAACATAAAACAACTTATTGCATTCACTGATGTACTAGATTATATAAAACCAATATTTATGAGCAAGTTTAACAAAATGAGGCAAATTCAGAGAGTGACAGAAACAGAATGCAACACCTTATAGTGATGTAAGAAAGGATCAACACTCATGAGAGCATTAGACCAGACAATATTACCCCAAATCTCGGGTCCTTGGCGTCTCTCCAATGAAATCTCTGCACACCAAATCTGCAGATGATCCTCCTCGATAACGTCCCACAAGAGCAGAATGTTGGAACCAGAGTTGCTCAGTCTGGTCCCGGGAAGTAAATCAATGAGCTTTTTGTCTCTACCAATAGTGATTTTGTACGACTCCCACAAAGCCTCAATTTTCCCATCAAAGTGAACCAGTCTAGAGCTAGAGAGTCTCTTCTTGAGAGAGACCAAACCTTTGACCTTCCTCCAATACATCCCCTCTGGTTCACACTCCAACTGATCTGGCTCACACCAATACACACTTCCGCTGCGAGAAATACAGAAGATCAAACCATCAATCACACACCAATCCCTTCTGTTTCCATTCGTTGGAGCATCATTCCCTCTTCCCCACTTACCTTCACACGGCGAGTAGCAATAGGTTCTATCAATTCCATCAACTGCGTAAATCTTCTCCCCCCTCACCACCACACTGTCGTGGATATACTGATCTCGTTTAATCCGATCCGGCATTGGAGGCAAAGAGTCCCAAGTTTGAGTCTTTGGGTCAAATACCTCTGCCCAGTTCGAGGAATCTGGGTCCAAGCAGCCTCCGAACACATAAATCTTCCCATTTACGACTCCAACCGCCGCACAAGCTCGAGCCACTCCCATGGAAGGGACTTGACGCCAAGTGTGAGTCCGACAATCCAAGAGCCAGACATCCGAAGTACGAGTCGTCTCCTTTATAAATCCACCGATTACATAGATTCCCCAATCCATCACCACCACGGAGGATGCTTCCGGAGGCTGAGAGCACAACGACGGGATCGGAGAAAGCCGATTCAAAGTTTCACCACGGCGGAGGATGAACCAGCGTGGGGTTAGGTCAGGAGGGGTGAGCAAACAAACGTACAAGCAATTCTCCGCGTAACCCACTTTAGATCTCGTCTTGTACAATTCAGGCGAAGCCATTAGGGAGCGATAAGACTTGGAAACGATAGACAGAGCCGCTTGGTCCAATCTCGACACTCGAGCCAAACAGCTCAGAATCATCTCATCTGGCAGCGACGATAACGGAGACCATGATGAATCAGGCGGAGACGGAGACGTCTTTCTCTTCTTATGCGGTGGCTTTTTGTAGGTCGCTGAATTCGACATCGACACTCTGTTCGTGTTTTTGTTTCAGTTTGTGTTTCTGAGAAGACACGAACATAATTTTTTCCATTTTTTATAGGCAAAAACAATTTCTTCTTCAAATATATCTGTGCCAGTTTTTTGATAATTATAAAAAAAAACAAATAAGATTTAATAAAATCCTATATTATTATTTGGGGAATACATCATAAAAAATAATCTTATCTTTTTATACGTAAATAATAAGAATCTAATTAGATATAAAATTTCAATGAGTAAATTAATTTATTTTATTAAAGATAAACAAATCAAATACTAATTTAACTAAATTATAAAAATAAAAATATATTATTAATTTGTTTTTTTAAAAAATGACCAATCAAAACGAGCATATAAGATTTGATATCTCACTTACCATATCAATTTGTTACTAATCAATGATTAGTAATCATTATACTTCACGTCTAATCTTTATATGATTTTATTTTTATGAAACAAATAAATCCTCATATCATTTCTATAATAAAAAAAAGAGATTTTTTTTCTGTATATGCCTAATTTTTTAAAAGGAATATAAATTGTACAATCTATGAAGGAAAAAAGGTTACGGATCAAAAATTCAGATTTAAGTAATATATTTCTTTTAAACAAAAATAAATTCAAGAAAAATTCTGACTGAGTAACGAGTCAGAATTTAAATATTTATATTTAGTTTCTTACATTTCTTTTTTTTGAAATGTATAATTTTATATATTACAATAAACTTTTAAAATATTTTAATTTGGAACTTCAAATAGTTTTACATGATCTTTTTAAAGAATATCATCAATTTTTAATAGATCAAAAAGTTTAAAAAATATAAATACTCTTATATGATTTTTTAAAACAAATATATTTAAATATTTATAATAGGCGGCGGATTAAATATAATTTTTATAGAGAAATTGTTAAAAATGCCCCTTTTTCAATACCCCTTTTCAAAAATGCCCCTTTTGAGAGTCCATTTTTAAGTTTGCCCTCTTTTAATTTTTAATGACCATTTTACCCTTATTTGAAACAAAATTAGGTCCACAAAATACAAAATATTTTTTGGCGGGAAAAGTGATCCCGCAATTTTCCCGCCAAAACACTTGTAAAAACCTTTAAAAAACCTTGTAAAATTTCCCCGTCAAAATTTTTCCCGCCAAAAAATTTTCCCGCCAAAAAATTTTTTTTGCGGGAAAAGTGATTCCGCAATTTTTTTTTTGCGAAATTTTTTGGCGGGAAAATTTTTGGCGGGAAAAATTTACAAGGTATTTTAAAGGTTTTACAGAGTATTTACAAGTGTTTTGTAAGGTTTTACAATGTATTTTAAAAGGTTTTACAAGGTACTTATAAGGTTTTATAAGGTATTTATAACTTGTAAAACCTTATAAAAAACTTGTAAAACCTTATAACTTGTAAAAACCTTATAAAATAGCTTGTAAAATCTTATAATATCTTATAAATACCTTGTAAATACGTTGTAAACCTTTTAAATACATTGTAAACCTTATAATATCTTGTAAAACCTTAA